GTGCCGCTGCCGCTGCCGAGCCGGAGGAGGAAGGGAAGGATGCAGAGGGTACAAACAGTTTCCTTTATCCATTAACTCGGGGCTGCCTTTGCCTCCCTGCCGGTTCTGGGTAACCCACAGCCCTTTCGCCCACCACGCATTGGGTTACCATCAATTCCAGACACCGACCGGGCGAGCAGCCCCCGGGCTCGTCTCCTGTCGCGTTGGCCTGGAAGCGTTCGGCTGGGTGCCCGCGGGGCCGGGGAGCGCCGCTCGGTCCCTGCCAGCAGACGGACAGACGGACGGTGCTGGCTCTGCTCCTGCACCTTTCCCGCTCCCTGCCAAGCGTCTCACGGAGCCCCCGCCTGAGGGCTCACGCACGGGGGTTCCCTGTCCCCTGTAAGAGCCAGCGGGCTTTATCCTGCTCCTTTTATCTGATGCGCTGGCAGGTACTGCAATCTTTTCTGTGCGCTCATGCGGCATTAAAGCAAACGGCAAATGGAAGGAGCCCAAGCGTGCTGGGTCAACCTTCGCTGACCCAGCGTCTCCGTGATCGGGGAATAAGAGCGGAAGAATTGGCTTTTACCCCATCACCTGGAGTCCACAGGGTTCTCGTGATGTCTCATTCATTTCAAGCATGCAGGAATTAGCAGCAAATGCCTTTTAATCCCCAGGAAGCCAATTGGCTATTTTTTTTTTAAAAAAAAAAAGCTTCATTTCAGTGTGGTTCCCCTTGCTGCTGAGTTACTGCCGCAGTCCGGGGCCTGGCAGCGCTGCGGGGAAGCTGCAGCCCCCAGGGCCGCTGGTTCTCTGCTGGAAACCCACCGTGGCCTTGGCTCACGGGGCTGCCCCTGCACCCCACCCTGCACGCTTGATGGGGACACGGGATGGGGACACCAACGTGACACCAAGCACCCCCGATGCTCCTCGCTCCCAGTGGTGGCCGTGGCGCGGGGCAGCACGAGCTGCTGCAGCAGGACGGGGTGGGAAGGGGATGCTCGTCCAGCCCGCTCGGCTCTCAGGGGGGGCTGCATCCCTCCGCACAAAGGTCCTCCTGTTTGTCCCATTAGTGCCATCATTAAAAACCAGTTAGTCTCCTACAGAGAGCAAACGCAGCCCCGCCAGGGCCTTGCTGAGGGGCTGCGCGGCCCCAGACCCCCGTGCCCCCCACCAGCCCCGGGGAGCGCTGGGGTCCTCCCCTCCTACTTGTGTACTGGGGCTAATTGGTGCAGGGGCCCGGGAGCCCAGCTTCGCACCTTGTTAGCAGGGCAATTAACTCTCTTTACCCTCCTGATTGCTCTTGTGCATATTTGACTCCAATCCATCTTTCCAGCCAGTTATAAATGCAGCGCCGGGGAGGCAGGGGGGAGTCGAGCTGGGTCAGGGACAGCAGAGCCATGCTGGGGACTGTCCTGCTGCTGCTGGCCCTGGCAAAGCCGGCGTGCCCGAGCCCGGCCGGTGCGGCCAGCCGGCGGGCTGAGGCGCTGAAGAGGCTCCTGGAAGTCTTTGGCATGGAA